TTTAATATTATAGTTGTATTATTTTTCTTATTACTTCTTTTAATTTTATCCATTAGTTTAAAAAAAAACACGTCCCATGATATTGATTATCCTAAACACATGAATATATAAAAAGAAAATGCATTAAAATAATTGAAATAATTAATAAAAAATCAATTTTATATAAATAACAATATAAATTCAATTATAAGTATAAGTAAAAAATTCTCTTTTTTTTTCTTTTTGATTATAATATGAAAATATTCTTCTACCAATAATAATTAAAATCTATTTATAAAATGCAAATGATCAAATAATAATTTTATTAAAAATTCAACATTATAATATCGAACAGAAAGACAACGAAAGCTTGCTTGCTTATAACGTTACCGTTCGTTACGAAAACTTTTAATCGAATGAAAATAAAAACATTAGTTAACAACGATAGGTAAACACGTTGTTCGAACACATTAAACTAAAAGCAACTAAATATAATAATACATCATAAATAAAACAACAACGAAAAGAGAAACAAAGAGTGAAATTTTTCATTATCCAATAATAATATAAATAAAATAGTACTAAACGTTTTGTCATTTTGATAAATTGTTATAACGATTTATTATGATACATATATAGATTATGCATAGAAAATTGTGGGTGGCATGGTAATCGTCTAATTTACAATTAGATCTAATGGATACTATGTCATGCTGATGGATGTGGTTTAATGTTCGAAAGTCATGCGATTTTTAATACTAACCAACACCAACGCCACCACTTACTTTGATTCTAACCTCTTTTTGTTTGATTTTTTTCGGTTTATGGATTAAAGTTCTTTTTTTTGTATTTAATTGGCTGAAAGTTCTCATTAGATACATATATATATATTTGTGTGTGTGTGTATGTGTTAAATAAATTGATTTGATTTTGTTTGTTTGTTTCTATTGCAGACTAAACCGGTTGCATTCGCAGTGCGGACAAATGTTAGCTATGACGGATCCGCTGACGATGATTCACCTGTTCATGGTTCTGCCGTTAGCTTTGAGGTCCGGGAATTTTTACACATTAAGGTAAATTTCTTTGTTCAACAAAAAACGTTTTCTTCTTTTGTTTTTTTTTTTTTCAATCAATCAATTAATTAGAAATAAATATTTACCGTGTTTATCTCGTTTTTTTTTTAATTTTTTTTTTATATTTTTGTATTCTTGTTTTTATCCACACCCAGCCGTCACCGCACCCCCCCCCCCTCAACCCCTCTCACTTTAATTCGACTCGTCGTATTATCGAAAATTCGTCGAAATTTAAATGTTAGATATTTTTATATTTATATATAGAAAAAAAAAAAAAAACACGTTGACACACGATGTTATTTTTGATTTTTGTTTGTGTTTTAGATCGAATTAGATATAATATTTTCGTTCGATGTTAGATATTTATCGATTTCCCATAAAGTTCGATTGAATTCATTCGTGTATTACACTCGTAAAATAAATGTTTTTTGGTGGAAACTTATTACCATCGATGTTTCTTTTTCTTTTTTTTTTTTGGCTATCCTTTAATCCTAAATAATGCGTGTGTTTTTTTTATTGTTTTTCTTTTCTTTTCTTTTTTTTTTTCAAATATTAGAAAAAAGTGTTTGTCGTCTTATTTATAATATTTAAAACAAACAAAAATTAATATTATATATAATATTAGAAAAAAAAAACACACACACACAGAGAGAGAGAGAGAGAGAGAGAGAGAGGAAGGAAGAGGTAGAAGTTATCTGTCAAAATCGATATTAAATTTATCTATATATGAGTTTTTCAAAGGGAAATTAAAGACAGTTAATAAATTTGATGAACAATTTATTATGACCTTGTTGAACGTTTCGTCCCTTACTGGGGACTTCCTCAGCAACTACAAATTTTTTCATTATGACTTGTTAAAAAAAAAAAAAATCTTTAATTTCCCTTTGAAACTCATATATATTAATATACTGTTGGGACAAGAATATTGATAATTAAATTATATTTATCTGTTAATAATAAATTTGTTGAAAATATTTGATAAACGTTAAACAAGAAATCAACTAAGATATATAATTTTCTTCTAAAATATATTTTTTATCGAAATGGATAATGATTTTCTTCTTACGTCTAGAAATAGGAATAAGGAGAAAAGAAGGTACGTTTGAAATCGATTTTGGCAGAATTCCATGTCGGTGCTTTAATCCTTACTTTTTCATCTTTCTTATCTTCGCGATAAAATATAACGAAAGGAAAAGAAAAGAATAGAAAAGAAAAGAAAAGAAAAAAAAGTATAAAAGTCAGACATATATTATTACAAATCGTTGTAACGATACTTTACACACACGAATGATTCGAATCGTTTCGTTTAAAAAAAAAAAGAAAAGAAAAAGAAACAAACCAAAAGATTTTACTAACAATATTAAAACACACATAACGACAGAGACACATTATATAAATTAAATGGTACACGATATATTTTATAAATAAATAAATAAAGTTAATTATTTATTACTGTATATTACCATGATATTTCTCTCATTGTAATTAATAATTTATTATTATTATTATTATTATTATTATTATTATTATTATTAATGTGTCAAATAAACGGTAAAATCAATTTTATCTATTTGTTGACTCAATCCATCATAATTATTATCGATAAATACAGTTAATTCCTAAAAATATATATCTTATATATACAATAATTAAATTTAACCAACTAAATATATTTATTAGTTTAATAAATCTTAAAATAGATATCGTAGATAAATTATTTATATATTTCTGACATATTAATGGATGAAACTATTGCCAAAAAGAAAGGAACATTAACCAATAGAAATTATTTAAGTAATTTGAATTTACGTAACTCGCTTAAAACGATTGCAACAATTACCGAGAAAGTAATAATCATTTTTCTTTTAACATTTTAATATGTGTCTCGCATATATGCGCATACATCATTCAAAGCGTTAAAACAAACGAATAAAAATGCTTAAGTATATAAAATAAGCCCACATTTTTTCGGAATTAACTGTATCGCGAAATTAACAGGAACGAAAAATAAAAACAAACTAAACTAAACCAAAAATAAAAAATAAAAAGTAAAATATAAAATAAAAATAAAAAATAAACCGATGTGTGTACTTATGATGTGTGCACGTAAGGAAGTTATACTTCTTTAACGTATCAAAACGAACATAACCTCAAAAACAACTTCAATTATCTCGCGTACCAATATAATACTCAACATTTGTCAAAAATACAATAATACGATAAAATAAAATAAAGATATTAAATACAATTGATAAAGATTTGAATTAACATGTACAATCTAATTGATTTATTTACAAACAACTTCATGCCGGTAAATTTGAAATCGTTTAGCCCGCGCATTTTAAATATCGACAACTTCGTGGTGTCGATTTTTCGGTCGCATTTAAATTCACTTTTCAAAATGCGCCAAAAGAAGTATAACTTCGATAAAACAAACAAAAAAACAAAAAAACAAAAAATAAACTTAACACACCGAGAAAGGAATTTATAATAATATTAATTAAAAAAAAACCAACCATATATACGTTTAAAGGAAAAATATGACAACAACTGGTGGATCGGGAGACTGGTGAAAGAAAATTGTGACGTGGGTTTTATACCATCCCCGGTGAAATTAGAGGCACTGAGATTGCAGGCTAGCGCAGCACGTGGTACTAAAGGTCTCTATTCAGCACGAGGAGGAGGGTCTTCAGGGAACCTTGGCGAGAGTGGTATGCCTTCACGTGGTTCCACGCCACCTACACCAGGTATCCTAGCACGTCCTTCTTTCATTCCCCCCCCTCGGATAATCCACGGTCTACGTCATCTAACGGGTGGTACTCGCGAACCCTGTGTTTCTCTTCTCTCGACACTTTATTGGTTGTATCAAGATAAAACAATAAAACAATAACACACAAAAAAATAAGAAAAGGAAAACAATATTTTTCATTTTCAACCTAAAGTACCGAGAGAGAGAGAGAGATTCAGCTGGGCTCCCCCCATTAAACCCCCCAAATGTGACGATTAACCGGGATTGGATGAACGGGAGGGGGGACACCGTCCTTTGAAAAGCAACACGTTTCTTTTTTTTGTTTTTTCTTCTTCTTCTTCTTCTTCTACTTCTACTTCGATTCTTGTTTCGTGACAAAACAGTGAAAGAAACGAAATGACGATGAAAAATAAAACTTAATGAGAAAGGGAGAGATACAGAGAGAGAGAGAGAGAGAAAGAGAAAGAGAGAGAGAGAGAGAGACAAAATGAAAGGGAGAACAAAAATGTTAAACAGAAAAGAAAGAAAGAAAGAAAGAAAGAAAAAAAATATCCTAAGTATTATATTAATTCTTTATCTCAATTATCAAATACGTATCTTTTTTTTTTACTCTCATCTTTTTTTTTTGTTTTTTTTTTTTTTCGTTTTTCTTATACCGAATAAATCAACACCCTTATTAAAATTTGGACACGTTATAGAGATAGCCATACACACACTACATCACACCACACCACACCACACGCGCGTGCACACGATTATTATAAATATTATTATTGTTTCATTATTTTCTATTTAAAAATTCTCAAAACCCTTTACTTCACCCCCTCCTCTACACACCGCCTCAACTTCTTTTCTTTTTTTCTATATACACACATTTTTTTGTTTTTTTACAAAAATAAACAAATATCACATTTAAAAAATATTTGTTAGAAAATATTTTTCAACGTGCAATGGCTTTCTTATCCAACATATTGTAATATGTAAAAGCCTACGTGACATACACATACACACACACACACACACACTTTTTATACTTTTTATTTTTAAGTTAGATGCTTTATTTCCTTGCAAATCGTGACCCTCTTTATATATGACACACACTAGTATACTATAATATAATAATAATAAAAAAAGAAAGAAAAAAAAACACACAAACAAACAAGCAGTCAATTCGAATTTAGTGATCAATTATTGGATATTGCATGATCATTGGAATGTTAACGAACTCTCATTCATTCATTCGTTAGATCCTTCAATTCTAAAATCAATCAATCAAACAATTTAATTATTTCATTTTAATTATTTATTATTTTTTTTTGTGGGGTGGGGGGGGTGGTAGGGAGAGGGAGTAGGTGTAAATCATCAATCGATCAAATAAACTATCAAAGCTTTTTCATAGCACCCGATCGAATTCAATACCAGGCTTGATATTTAGGCATCAAACTTTTTCACATTATTTACACGTTACTGAAATATTTTTACAAAAAAATCAAACCACTTACAACAATACACCCACACACACATAAATACATACATACATACATATATATATAAATATTACATGCATACGTATACGTGAACCACTTGTTAACATTAAAAAACAAAAACATAAAAAGAAATCTAAAACCAAACGACACGCTCGCGACCATTTTTTAGCATTTGAATAATTGCTGTAGATGAATCTTGGTAGTTTTGCTGCTATGGATTTAGCGAGCGTATGATAAATTTAGGATATAGTTATTTTGCACCCGAGCAAGCAAGCAAGCAAGCAAGCAAACAAGCAAGCAAGCAAGCAAACAAGCAAGCGTTTCTAAAAAGGCTTTAATTTTTATATTCATATATAGTTGATATATATATATAAATATATATATATGTATGTTACTGTCAAAGCCGGAAATCAGGCATTTATTAGCAAATCCTCAGCATTACTATGAATGTGAAGAGCCTTCAGACGAAGTCAGAAATAAGACTTTTTGGAGAGTTTTTCCTATCCATAGAACATAATACTTTGATATTCTATAGAATATCAAATTACTATTTAAACAACGTTGAAAAGAAAGTGAATAGATTTTAATGAAACTTATATTAAATTAAAGTACACACTTTTGTCTACGCGTAGAACACCATATCGAGTTATAAACTTAGCATGTAAAGTTCAGAAAATGTCAGAGAATGCAATGCTGTAAATTGTGCATCTTT